GAACGTCCCAGACATGCTCAATCGGTGACAAATCAGGTGATTTAGATGGCCAATCTAACACCTGCATGTTCTTCTGCTGCAAGAAAGTTATGCTGTCGCGACTGGTGTGCGCTGGTTCGTTATCCTGTTGAAAAATGGCGCCAACGCCATGGCGTCTTAAGAATGGCAGAACCACTGGTCTTACAATTTCGTCCCGATATCGAATGCCGGTTGAAAACCACCCCAAACCATTACACTTCCGCCGCCAAAGCGGTCCCGTTCTGCGACGCAGCAGTTCGCAAAACGCTCCCCTCGTCGCCTCCACGCTCTGCGCCTTCCGTCACCGTGTTGCAGACAAAACCTGGACTCATCTGAAAACAGAACATTGTTCCATTGTCGTAAGGCCCAACCACGGTGAACACGGGTCCAGTTACGCCGGTTATTACGGTGACGTCGCAACAAATTGGGAACAGTGAAGGGACGCTGCGCTTTCAACTGGTAGGCCCTCAACCTGTTCCGGACTGTTTGGGGAGACACACGACGCCCAAACAATGTATACGACGGTCATCCCTAGAGGTCGTTTTACGGGGTCGGCCGCTTCGGGGACGATCGGATGTTGACCCAGTTTGGTTTAAACGACTTACCATCTGGCAAATTGTCTTAACACTGCAACCAAAATGCCGTGCAACTCGACGGCGAGACTCCCCAGTCTGGATCATGCCTACAGCCCTTTCTCTCTGTACTTGTGACAGCCGGGGCATAATGATAAAGTTGAAAGATAGCAAGATTCGGTGATTTCTACGTCCTAAGGATCTAAGGAACAGTTGTCAGTTTGAATGTTTATGAAATTCAAGCGAAGATACAAGTTAGTCGCAGAAAACCTCGTGCAGCTCTTTCCCTAATACAGACTTTCACGCTTGAACGATTTTGGTAACCCCCTTGTATTTTGTAATGCAAAACATTACCATTTTCTAATATTGCACAAACGTCATTTTGTTTTCACTCATTTACAGGTATTCGCCAAGGAAACATGTTAACCTTTCTTTTTTTGTTGAGTATATATAGGAATCCAACATTTCGGTCTTACCTGAATGCACTCTCAAGCTATGTCAACAACTTTCTATTGAATCTTTCCTTCGATTATATTTTGACATTGTTTCATCAACTTTAAGTTAGATTTGCCATTCTGTTGGTACGTCGATATTTCTTTGTTATTATCAAACAATAGCCCGTTATACATATAACTATTTAATATATTATTATACGTTTTGTGTCGTGTCTCGTGACTTCAAACTACATACCTGTAACATGTCAATTGAAAGTTTTCGAGTGGCACCATCATAAACATTATATGTATTATATATTTAACTAAAGAAAGAATCGATATGGTAGTTCCCTACGTTTTCAGGCCCAACAACGTGGATGCATTGGTACTACTTCCAAATTGTATTTAAAAATACAAATGTAATCTGAATATGTTTACAGTGTTGAAAACATATTTAAAGCATATTGTGTCATTCGAAATAAATACCTTAACGTAGACTGAAAGTATAAATAATTTACCATCATGTAGTTTTTCTTATATGGTTTTTACTATCAAATTCTTTACTTATCTTTTTTTTATTTTGGTTACAAGAAAATATAAAAATGTTGATTCTTAAGATCTGACAGGGAAATAGACAGATATGCTGTTCAAATTATATCTTAGTTGACAGCCATATGTCATTTTTTCACAATTATTATCATTTTTCCCATTTTTTCGTTTCTTCGTAATTAGTATGGTAGAAGACAACGCAATAGGAAAACGCATATGTTTTTAAGAATCAGCAAATCAATAGGGGATGGCACACGTCTTGGGAAAAATCACCTGTAGGGTAACAAAAATGGCAAGAGTATCACCGAAGTTATTTACTTATTGTTTTTTACTTACCACTGTCTTTCACAAAATAAAACTTGTCAGCAATAATGCACAAAGAAAATTTCTTATAGAAAACCACGTCAGTACATAGTAGTACATATATACGTGCATTCACTCTTTTATAAATTAAGATACTACAAAATGATACTTCTGGGATTAATCTGTTAAGACGACTGTTTTCTCCTTCGTACGACTTATTGTCTTGTTCGTACATATCATTTTTCGCTCTAAAAGAGGCTAGCCAAGCTTCAGTACTTCCGTGCTTCTTTTATACATTTTAACTACTTCTAAAAGATAGATCCTTGTGGATTTGCGCAGTATTCTGCCCAGTTAAATACATAGTAATTTATATTTTCTTATGTTAATAAACAGCAACATAATACATAATTGGAAATTGACCTCGAAAAGAAGGTAACGAAAACTATATAAATAAATAAACATTAGAAAACAAATATTTCCTTCTGGCAATCATTATACCTCTACATGTCGTAATCAGATATATTTGATATATCAGATTGGTATGCACATAGTTTGTATAAACAAAAAATAGGGACCTCCTGAGCATGGTCATTTCTGTAACGAATACAACAATCATACACTGGTATCACTTTTGATATATAATAACAAAGGTCATTTTTCGTTTAAAACACGTCTGTTTACCTTCGCTAAATCCAACCATTCAAATATCGTTGGAATCTCCTCAAATTGGTCATTTAAACGAAGCCAGAATATAATATGTTTATCCAGTCTGCTTAGAAGTGAATTAAGTCTTATACATAACTATAACATCTGTTATATCATACAGTTGATGATGTGAAAATAATAACGATGTAACAAAGATATTCTTATTTAATCTGACATCGCTGGAATGTTTTTCTTTGTCAACCTTTCTTAACATTTTGGGTGGGATCATAGAAAAAACAGTCCGAAAATACCAACATTGAAACATAATCATTATTCAAACTCGAATTTCTTAAAACTAGGGCAAAATATGAGCAGAAGAAGGAATTACACGGCGGCTCCTGACAAAGTACAAAGGCAATAACACCAGGTATTCTGGAAGAGTAAGTGTCTTCTGATTCATCGACGACACTTGCCATGTAAACCTTGGTCATTCCAAGTAAGTAATGTCACGTTCTCAAATGAGAGCAAGATATACAACAACCGAACCAACAGGCAAACTAACGAGCATCAAATACGTCCAGCTTCATGTCACACAAAAATAGACTATTCTTTATGAGATCACTACGACGAACATAAAACTTCACCATGTTTTTCATCAACCTGCATTTATGAATCTTTGTGTCAAGAGTTTGTCAGTCAGTTGACGGATTCTTGCACGAAAATCGTGAAAATGGGAACAGACCCTTGAATATCGAATCAACTGTGTCATGTAAATACCATAGGTTGGAGATACAGCGTTTTTGCTTACCAGAAATGGAAAAAAATCACAATAGGGAAATTGAAACTATCACGTTTGTCATGCCCATGTTAGTTTCCTTGTAGGAAAAGATTGAGATCAGCAGCTGATGTAAAAGAGTCTGTCGTATCTTTTGATTTCCAGATCTTGTGGATATATACGATGGACGTAGTCAATAAAGTTCTTGTTTTTAAAGACAGGACTTCATCAATATATCTGAAGGTTACATTAAACGACTTGGTAAGGTCTTTGTCACCTGTTTTGATAAGCTCTACAGCAGTTGATTCCCATAGGTATAGTCTGTTGGAAGATCTTACCACCAAACTCGACATAGGTTTTCTCAACCAGAAACTCGACCATTTTTTATGATTTCGTCCTCCTTATATTTACATGTTTCTAAAATATGAACTTCGTACATAACAGGACGCCTCCAGTACTAGTACAACGATCACTAATGTAAACAACAAATCAATATTTAGATGGAAAGGGTTTATTCTATTAGAATCAAACAATTAGCGTGAGCTGTCTTACGCCACAACGGCAAGTTATCTGAAATATTAACAAAAATGAAATCAACGAGATTATCTTACTTGATGTCAGTACAGCAATCAAGTCACTGTATTTCTGTTTTGATATGAAGCGGCCACTAGCACCACGGCTAATGATACAACTCATAACTGCATTGTTCGAATATAATTTTGACGTTCATTCATGCAAAAGTTGATATTACTGAATGTTTACATGTTGTATGAAAGATTAACACATTGAACAATAGATATTTTTTTCAAATCTATCGATATCAAAGGGAGCTTTATAAACCACTATCTTAATTATTTGGGAACTTTAAACATACTTAATTTTTTACATCAGATTTAAACGCAATATAATTTTTTTAACAAACTAGCGCCAAATTTAATTCGCGCATTCACAATAATTGCTCTATTGATGATATTCAAAACCTGCGGCAAGCCCTAAGATACGATTATCAATTAAGTGTGTAAACTTACCGTGTTATACTCAAGTAATTGTATTTGTTCTTGTTACCCTACTAGATGACTATAATGATTTATCGCTCTCTCCACCAACTAAAAAAGAATATTTGTAGTTAAGTAGGTATATGATGTTTTACACGAACAATTCATAATGACATCCGAATTTGTTGGACATCATTATGTTTCATAATATTATTGGATCACAGTCACTATCGTATGTAAAGTACGGGTGTTCGCTCAGATACGTTTCCAATAACGCTTACTAAAGCTTCTAAATGTGTTAAATCATTTATTTCTTATTCCGTATGACCAAGCTATGTTCCTCCAAGACGTTATTTAAAGAGGACATTACATATACAATACACAAATTTGAAAGATATTTAAATGTTTTCAAGTGATTTATATTTGATATTTCGCAAATTATTTGATTAATTTTGTGTCATTGATGTGACGTTGACTTCGACAATAGAAAAAAACAACATTCAACATATTGACTATAACTTCAAGAAGCCTGAGACACAGAAGAGCTTACCTTAGACTAAGAGAATACATCATTTGGGTGTAAACCTCATGCTTACCAACTAGAGTGTTACACTTATGTTTAGGTATCCCTGTACACACAAACATACCCATGTAAGACTACTATTGATATTATATGTTTTATTACAATCAAGAAAGAGGATTAACATACTTACTGCTGTATAATATGTCTCAAACTCACGCCGACTTACAGTGTTGTCAGCTGGAAATAAGAAATTTGCAATTGTGAGTATAATTCAAATGCACTTCAAGCATAACTAACAACACACAGTTTGGATTTCTCTCCTTTGTATAATCACTTCGATATTATGAGTAATATTCACCTCATTTTATGGGTTTTTTTTCGAAATATGATGTTGAAACATAAATGCAAATTCTGCTATATTTGAGGAAAGTACTTACTGTTTAAGTCCATCATCGAATACTGTCCCATTATGGCACTGCGATCCACGAAACCATCTCCATCAAAGTCCATCTCCTGGAAGACTGCTGCTCGGAAGGGATGGCCTGAACCACCTCTATCGTATTCCAGTAAGCTCACACGATGATCATCTTCGTATATCAATATGAAAAAATTAAGCTTTATTTTCGTATTGAATTAAAAAATTGTACATATATACAGAATATAGTGAAATACAAATCAATATCAATTTTTACTAACAGTCACGTTTCTCCAACACATAACTTTCAAAAGGAATATAACAAATAAATATCTTCAAGTGCAAAATAGAAATGTCCGTTTTCTGCAATTTTTACCTGTACAACTAAACATGTTATAGACATTCGTTCCCAATAAATTTGTGAATTATGAAACTGATCATATTTTGTTTTCCAAAGTGAATTTGGTTTCATCAAATACATCAAATAGAAACCTAAACTTGATCCAACGATTGTCGAATGTTAGCAGGACCCTGCTTACATTTTATATCAAATATAAATATATCTATATTGCATATAAATCGAAAATATTCTTTTCGTCTCCTTTCCGAAATTTTATATTGCTATGATTAAGATGTCCATTTGTAGAAAATATTGAAGTCCATATCAAGCGTAAGCGTGAATATAATTTCGTCATATGGAAACAAAATTCTGAATTACAAATGAGTATTGGGTTTTTTTTTTTTTTTTTTTTGCTTTATGCAACTTACAGTTAGAATCGACACGAAGGAACGAATGTTCCAATTCACTATATTCAACAAAGGAATCGTTGTTTACATCTACATGGTTAAAAGCTACATCCGTTGCTGCTAATATCTCAGCATGTGTAACATTCTGTCTCTGTCTGTAAAAAGATACAGAAAAGTATTTTGATCAAGCAAGCACAAATAAACTTTAAAAGGACAGATGGAACAATAATAATACACCTACGTAACGAACTTGTCTTTACCTTTTCTTCAGTAACAGAATATATAGAAGCGGTGGGCCTCTCATATATTCTCATTTTATTACTCTTGACCATTTTCTATATATAAATTTATAGATTCTTACACATCAATGAAACAAATGCATGTCTAACACATATTTAGATATATTGAAACAAAATAAATGAAGAACCAAGACGTTAATTAGAGTACCGCTCATAAAATAGACCACATCTATGATTAATCTTAGTCATTGAGTCCGTTTATGATAAGAGTCTTCGTTGTTTTTATATAAGAATAAATTATCTTCCCAAGAGTGACGTCTAACACGACATGGGTTACAGACAATATGATACGTGTTGCAAAACGAACACGTGATTTATTACACAGTATACAGTTTTACTACATAATTTCATTTTTAATCTATAAACGTTGCGCCAAATACGTTTCAGTTGAAATTATCTACAAGACCTATCCATACTTACGCCAGGGATGAACCAAGAACGAGCAGAAGGACAAAACCACCGATTCCATACATACTGGCTCACTGACAAAGCACAGGTCAAATTTTAATCTCATTTACAAGTACAAAACTAAATTCACATTAATTCAACTTATTTTGGCCTTTTGATGTTTGAATTATTTTTTTAAATTCCTTAATCAGCACTTTGCTTCTTCCTACAATACATTATATAAGTAGACATGGCCGCAAAAGTTATGTGCTTACCTGGATGAAGTTCTGGTGTATCACGACGAAGTTCTTGTGTGTCATGGTTACATAAGGTTCTCTATATTTATACTTGCGTGCTGCTTATCGTTCTTCACTACCATCTTAACATCTGTTTGTTTCCCTTTAACCTTGTCGACATCACATTAATGGACATTTTATCAAAGGTTAAAAACAGGAACTGCTTTTACAACACAAACGTGCTGACCATGACTGAAAAAAATATATAAGCATGATCTTTTTAGTTTTCATGAAATATATTCAAATAACGATTCAGGTTTTAAAAGTTCTGAGACGAATGATGCGTCGTCAAAGTTCTTTGTAAATTTTCGTCAGTTCCATAATTGCTTGCTCACTTGCAATTCTCTATTTCGATTTGATCGCTGGATTTTATCTGGATCTAATATCTCTTTGGAGGATACGACATTTAGAAGCCTTTGTACATTTCATGTGTGAATTTATGACACAAGTCAAAGGATTTTAAGGCGAGCTAAAATGAGAGATACGTAGCAAGATTGATAAATTATAAATTTACATATCAAATGGATCGATAAAATTCAATAACTTTTCACATTTTCTATGTACCGTTTATAGACTATGCTCTTGTGTACATCCAGGGGGGGAGAGTAACGATTGACGACCACATGTCTTGTAGTTCGTGAAGTAAACATGAATTGACCAAGATTGCATAGTGGATGTGGACCTTGAGGCAGATTACGCTTACCCTTATATCTGGGTTACCTCCTCCTTAACTTCTGCAGGAGTCTCCTTGCAGATTTTTTTGTTGTTCACCTTTTCCCTTTGTTTCTCTTTGTCACATTTAAGTTCAATTAATATTCTGTTGACATTGTATTAATTTCTTTGTTGTTTTTTATTTTATTTTTTTTTTCAATAATTCGTACATGGGCCTCGCTGATTTGAATTGTAGAAGTGACAAACTTGTATGCATGTATTTAGTAAGGTGGTGTTAGAATCATTATGACAACTTTTTAATTAATGGCTTGTTGACAAAGAACAATTGGCAATATCAATTAGGGATTGTTGAACATGTTGCAATACGTGTTTAAATATTTGACTGTTGAACTGATTAATAAACCATATTTTGAAACGGAAGTTCGGCGTGAAATGAGGATGAGAAACAGGTCATATAAATGTTTTTTTGTTTCTGTGATAATTTTTTAAAATATCATGCAAAAACCTTTTTAGTCCAGTTTCTAATACAATTGCAGCAGAGCAGAAAGGGTTTTTGTTTTTTGTTTTTTATTTTGTTTTGTTTTGTTTTGTTTTTTTCTTTTATTTCATTCTCGAATATTTAAATTGAAGTTAATATAGGAATCCAACGTCATTTAGATTATTATATTTTAATGTAATTACACATTGTTGACCTTTTTAAATCTCTAAAGTCATGTTAGGCAGTTTGATACGATAAAATTACCGTCAGTTTCCAATGCTTGTAAATACTGCTTCCACTACTTAAGCTGCACTTCTCATTTGTTAAGAAAGTCTCAAGGAATTATGGCAAAATAGGCATACTTTTGATCAATTGACAAATAAAGTCCTATTCATGATAGTCTTATTAATTCTTAAAGAAAGGAAATAAAACCCATAGTACATAAATTAATGAAATGTGTCGTTATGAGGTTCGCTTGTTTGCCTGGATTGTCGCTCCGTTGACATCCGTGGCCAATTTGAAACATGATATCACTAAACATCGCGTTCTATCCACTACAATTCTGGTGAAATGTCTTCCCCAAGGCACAACCATGTGAAATGTAGCTAGCCGTTATTTGTGATATCTCTTAAGCTTTTGATACAGTTGGTCATACAGGTGTTGTACGCAGATTGAAATTAGATGAGAGCACTGTGATATGACATATTTCGTGCAGCAAACCATTGGTGTACACAGGGTTCATTATTTCATCTATAACCAAACACCAATCTAAACATTAGGTCACATAATCAAATGATATCATCTTTAATAAGTAGGAACTGTTGCAACGTTGTTTCGGAAAAGGGACTTCCTATAGAAATCCTTTAAACTGGAAAATCAAATAACAGAAGACAACGCAACTTCCAAACAAAACAAACGATGATGGTGTATCGCAGGGTTTCATCTTTGATCTCCTCTTGTAAATCAATTACACAACCGATAACCTCGACGATTTGTTCCTCTATTTCGACTGATACTTCCTTTTATTCCGATCTACCTCTGCTGTAATGGAACTAGAAACTACTACAAACAGTAACACCGGTATTAAACAGGTGTGGACTGACTATACTGTGAACAAAGTATAAAAAAGTAACTCTCTTTTTCCTCTTATACTATTTATTGTGTTAATAATCTGATCAGCGAATTAAGACGGTATCACTTGTCAGGTCCCTGTGACAGAAAAAAAAAGTTTGTAATTACGAAAGGTCTGTCAACAAAATGATTACACTTTGTAGGAATACTGCGTGGTTATTATAGTTTTTATGGGAATATATTTAATTTACAAGCACGTTACCAGAAATTGTATATATGAATAATAGAAAGATTTTACATTGAGGTTATTTGAAGAATAAGACTAGGTTTTCCAGAAAGGCTTATATCTGTTCTACTTCATTGATGACACTTGCCATGTAAATCTATAAGTTAAGCAAATAATGCGACGTTCGGAAGTGAGAGCAATGTAAACAAAAACAGAACCAGCCTGTATGCTTAACGAGCATCAACAGATCTAGCTAATATTTTATATTATTATTACGTTGTTACGGTATTTTTTTCTGAACGTCACAGGCGACATTCAATTTGAAACAAAAAACAAAAATACCAACATATCAATACCCACTTTAATTTATTGTCGTCTACTATCCTAACAGGTATCCATAATGATGGAACGCATTCTCCAATAACTGTAAAATATAAATTGGAGTAAATAAAAGGCAGATTACCAATGTTTCAACAAAAATAGTAATTGCTAAGTCATTGTTGATTTATTTTCATTTAATTCGTATGTAATCTAGATCCACGAAAATATCTACAAAACGATAAACTAATAACAAAATGACATGGATTATGGCTTTAACAGATTTTGTTTTTGCAAGTAAAGCATAATTTACAACAGTTCAATATAATCGTCCATCTTTAACGTTGGAGTGTGTCGTTGTCATCGAATGTTATTCTCAATAAATTGGGACTGTTTGTCCCTAAATTAAAAAAAAAATAGATAAATCCCGTTTTTTTAATTGTTAGATCGAAATGAATATAATTATTGTTCGAAAAAGCAATAGCAGGAAACTGCTCTGTCTCTTATTCATTTTAATATCCCCCTCCCCAATTCTACCATTCGTTCAATCATGTTTATACATATTGCGCGCGCTCATGACCTAACAATAATCTTGTTGTGGTAATATACAAGAGAACATCTTTGACAAATATCGTGATTATTCACTACTGAGAGATACCGGCAAAGAAATATACTCTTATACCTTTGGTAAGCCAATATATTAAAATTGATAGTTTGAGTGAATGCATACCGCATTTTAACATTGTCTGTGATTCAACTAATGTTAGGATTTAGGATGATAATGGTACATTTTAAATTTTTATTTATTGTCTTTATTATAGTGTATGTATGTGTAAAGTTACATGTATATATTGACATGAACGATTCAACTATTTTGTTTAAAATGTCATCTTATACATATTCGAATAAAGAATTAATTTCAAAATAAACTCAATATTTGCATTGCATTTTGCATTTTTTCGACGTTACACAATGCATACAGATGCAAAGTTGTATAATAACATGCAGATGTCACAGACAGATATAAAGTGAATTGTTTACGTGATATGCGAAATATCTGATAAATACTTTGATTTGTTTGGACAGAAGTAAATACATTAGGCCTGCTTGGAGAACATGATTTTACCTACCGTCGCATAATATTTGTCGAATTCAGACCGGCTGACAGTGTTGTCGGCTAAAACACAAAAGATGTCATATGACCCGGAGACATTTATCAGATTTATCAGAAAAGAAGTGCTAGTTCATTTAAAGTTTAGAGAACTAATATATCGGATTATCTGTTCATCAATATTGATAATACATCAAGTTTAGATTTAATTTAGTTGTTTTTACATGTCAACATGTATATGGCAACCTGTTATTCGTAAACGACAACCGTATATGATATATAATATACAATAAAACTGTACTGACCGTTGGTGTCCATCACAGAGTATTCTCCCATGATGGCACTGCGGCCCACGTAACCGTCTCCATCATAGTCCATTTCCCGGAAAACTATCCCACGGAATTCATGTTGGGCACCTTTCTGTTCGTACTCATATTCACTCACTTGGTTGTCATCTAAAATGTTGTAAAGATGAATGGATGGGTGAATGGCAGGTAGACAGGTATATATAAGTCATCGGAAAATTATCACATCTTTAATTTATTTACTTTAGATCGTTTTAGAAAATATCATCGTAGCTTATGAGGTATACACAAATGTAGGTGCAAGAGATAAAACTTGACTGATGATATTATAGCATAATAGAAACTTCGTTATATAACTTCTGAAGACGTAAATGAAACACGATGATTTATTTTTGTCAATTATAACAGTTTTGTAATAGTAATTGGTATGTATGTTTCTATCAATGCTGACTTGTTAAACTGTATTTTGTGCATCTTGAGTGATAAAAAAGTGTTGGTTTTTTTATCTTACAAGGATGGAAATAAAAGAAAAACATTTTCGGGACAAAATGTTTTGTAACCAACTGATGCTGCAAAAGGACTTTAACTAAGGCAATGATATCGACAACACATATGAAAGGTTGACATCATGGTAATTGTTTTATAATGAAAATTGGAATAAAAAAAAATATAACTCTTTTCTTTTCTGAGTTTTTTATTATTTCTTTACTTACGGTTACTATCAATTGAGAGCCATGCCCCTTCCAGTTCGCTAAGTTCCACGAAAGTATCGTTATTGATATCAACCAACTCGAAAACTTTATCCATACCTGCAAGGATTTGTGCGTGTGTATAATTACCGATCTGTCTGTAAATAAGAAAGAAAAAATTGTCTTAATATCTGTATGTGACTAATTAATATATCTTAACAGATATGACTACGTTTTACCATCTTGATTTGATACATTAAAATTGTTTGTAGTGTTGGTATCTTTGTTTATCAAATCTAACATATGTGTTTTCGTGTGGCAGTTGATTCGATATTATAGGGCTTGTTCCTGATTTCATGATTTCGTGCAAGGGAAAATTACAACACAAAGGTTTGACAGGTTGTTTACTATTATGGAGAAGTTTTGCGATCGCTATAGTGATCTCAACGATTAATACCTCGTTTATTTGTGTGATATAAGGCTGAATGTGTTTAATGCTCTGTTGTTCTTAATCGTGTTTTAATTTTGGAACCTTGCAATACTAACCCACGATTTACATGACAGATGTCGAAGATAAGCTTACCCTTCCGGAACACCTGTTCCTATTACCATTGAACTTGTTCAAGTCTCTTGCATATCGTTCTTTTGTTCATATTTCGCCCTAGTTTCATGGCATATGTTTTTGCATCGTGATTCCTTTAACTTGTCGGTATTTTCTCTTTCGTTTTTCCACTCACATATCTTTTTGTAAGTGCTGTTATTATTTCTCTCCATTGTAGGTTTGGTTTGCCTTTCAACAAGTAGTTTGTGAAGATATTTGTCGGACTGTTTATTTGAATACTGTCTCTGTATTGCTTGTTGGACTGTATGTCTGATGGTGGTACGTTGTACGCGCTAAATGTGACCGTGATTCTCTCGAACTACACATGTATGTCATGTGAGCATAGCTGTCTGTAGTTTTTTTTCCCCCGTCTGTCGGTTCCTGGACAAATATCAGTACGTTTTGCGTGAAAATAACTATCTATCAGTGTGTGTGTCTGGTCTGTGTGATTGTCCTATGTCTTTTCGTCTGACCATAAGATAAAGAGTTCAATGTACTTCATTTTAACACCAAATACTATTTGCTGAGTTCCAAAACAATTTCAAGTTATGTATGAAACCATACAAGAGAAGCGTAAAATGGATAGATTTGACGTCTCTTTTTTTCTAAAGTTATGTTCTTGTTTTTTATAAATTTATACACTGTTGGCACACTGCTTCTGTAAGTACTCTATCGCAATAAACACACTTTATGTTAATTTACCCATATATTAACTACTAGATAATTTCGTAATATATATGACTACATATATCCTTGACCATTTGTCCCCAATAAAACACATTTCACAAAACGCATACTTGACATATGTTCATATTATCGACTATTATCAACAAGGTACCCACAGAGCTGCAACTGACCTCTTTAATAACATTTATGCAAAGACAACGTACTTAAATATTATTCAAAAGATACACAACCGAATATCACCATAATGTATGAGTGAGAAAACAGTATTTTCCTGATCAGTAATTTAATTATAATTTATCTCTTCAGTAAGAGACATGTAGGAAGCAGATATTTTCTATAAAAGATGGAGGAACACTGAGGTCGATGTGTATTCACTACAAATGGCCGACATACAAGAATTATTACTTACGCAAATGACGTCCCTAGGGAGAGTAGAAATACAAGCGCACCGATTCCATACATGTTGGCAACTCTAAATCAACACAATTAGGAGCATAATTAATGCAAATATTGCTTTCGTTTATACTGTAATACATGTTATAAAAAATACACGTGCATTTCTCAACTCAAAGCTAACTACAACAATTCCAACTATTGATGTACTTTCAATAACTACATTTCAGCAATAAAAAAAAATTGCCTGAACAACATGCCTACCTGAATTGCGTTAGCAAAGAAAAATAACTACTATATGTCTTATATATATGTACGTCCTTATCATGCGAACATCTGTTTGTTCACATCATGGCTTTGCGTCAAAACAGGTCATTAGCAATAAATATTTCTAAAATATATTCGATTTTGAATAATAAAATTAAATAAGACGAAATGTATCAATTTGTTGTCAAGGTTGCATTTAAAATTGTTTTTAATAATTATTGCTTTCGCTCATATTAATCTTTCTTTCATTCATACTTTCCATTCTTTCATTAATGTTGAATTTAAATTCATAATTTCCGGACATGTTGTTTTTCTTGCTTTTTGCAGTAATGATATTACTACAATATACAAAATCACATATTTGTGACAAGTGATTTGTAAAGGTCGTACCATATGATTTATCTTAGTTGCTTCAGTTTTATGGTTTTAAGATCATCGCATTCCCCCCTTCTGAAATAGTTCCTAACCTCTCAAGCGTCGCATCAATGTCAAAGTGATAATGAAATCGATTTCTTACAGATTAAAGAACCGTCACTTTTCGTATTTTGAAAAAAAATATCACTTCAACGCACAAATGTGTAACGATTCCGTCGCTTCACTAATGTCAAACATGGGTGTTCAACGCGATTATACGGTAATTGCTTTTACTAACCTCTCTTATTTAAAATCATAATCATCTAATCATTTTTCCAGCTGTTGAAAACTCACTTTTTTTTCTTTTGCAAACCTGTAATTATTTCAGCAATGTAAATGAAGGGTGAAGTATTCTCTAGGCAATGTTATTGAGTAGTCTCACCTGCGTTGGATTTATCTATTTGTTTTGTCTTGTGTAACCTCGTTTTGATGATTAGATAAAGTACTGTTAACTAGAATGTTTGTGTCTTCGTTATCGATCCTGAAAGATCCCATTAAATGGGACGAAGAATAATGCAATTGGTGTTTCCTTTCTTTTTCATTTAGCCAGTCTTTTTTCCAATTCTGTCTACCTTATATGTAGAGAACACAAACGCCTCAAAACGTAGTTTTATGATGATGCAATACAGATATGTCAACAGAATCTGAGCTCAATGATTCTTTATATTGCTACGTGTGATGTCTCCAGTATTTCATTGTCAATGAAGTTGTATTTGATAATTCCTGATTCTCTGCCTGAAATCTGACATATCGATATAGTGTTTGAACTGTCATACATTACTCATTTTCAAAAGAGTATATATGAAATAGACATTTGTAGTTAACACTTACAAATGTAAACATTCACTTTTTTTTTTTTTTTTTTTTTATGTACAAATCAATAATTGAAGGTTTGGATGACAGAACAAAAAACACTAGTAAAGTATTGAATGATGCTTTACGTTATGAGCTATAAAAATTTAAAGAATGCAGTCTTCACAAATTACGTTCATATTCACCATTAGTACATTTTGTACGATGTTGTGATAATTGTAAAAAGGCATACAAGAGAAGAGCACTTTTCGATAAAAAATAAATTAGATACACCAATGTCACAACTAACAATAAAGAGATATAGAAATAAACTAGGACTTGACAGTGACAGTGACAGTCTAAATTTTGAAGGCTAGAAGGCTACAGACGAACATCAAAATCCAACGAATGAAATGTCATAATCGAGATCAGAATCTCGTTAGTTTCATATATTTTACATGTGTATATTCTGAATCGTATCACTATTTAGAGCCAACAATGGAAATACCGATATGTCAACAGAATCTGAATTCAAAATTCAAACTCGATGAATCTAGAGCAATATATGAAAAAAGAAAGATTAATATAGAGACACTTTTAAGGGTACAACGAGAATAAGACTAAGTGTTTCGGACTTAAGACATGGTAAACAAATCTAAAATTTTGTTCTAGCACTAATAGCTTGTTTATAAGAAGATAACTGAGAGTTTTATGGATTATTGAAAAAAAAAATTACTATTGTATATGTATATAAAGGATGTTTGCTTTCCTACTGATCCTAAATTAAGTTATCGCATGCATACAGCAAGCATTTGCGGAGAATGCCGATCAACAACGTGATAATGCAATGGATGTAACGAGACAGTCCAAATGAACCAACACTGTAAGGAAGGAAAAAAGGTGTTTTGAATTGATGATGCCGGACTTTTTTTATAGTCGATGTTAATTAAATAAATGGCAAGGCTTATCTAAATGATAATAATTATATGACGATATGGTTGATATATTGAAAAACATACGGCCTAAATGTAATTGTGAACTATGCATTGAAATACAAAATAGATTGACAAAATATTTCAAGGTTTGAAGGCAATCTTTTATGGTCATCAAAATGACCTCAAAGAGAGTTGTTCTATTTCCTCGGGCGATATGTCGGCAGACTTTTTGATGCCCATTAGTAGTCGTTCCGTTTCTGTAAACCTTATTCCAATTTAACAATATGACATTAATTACTTGGAATGACCAAGAATTACAAGAATGTCGTCGATGAAACTGAAGACGCTTGTCATTCCGTAGTGTTTATATTTTGTCCTAGTTTAATCGACTTTGAATTCGAATTAAGATTCTGTAGATCGGCATTTTCATTATGTTTGCTTGATAATGGGGAACCATCCATTCACATTGTAAAACTCTTCCAAAACGTTCGATGTTGACATCTCACGGTTAATTCGAGAGTCAATGGCGTATATTGGATATTAAAATGTCATTGAAAGATGACCTTACAGCAAACGATTTTCAAGAGATGCAAGTTTGTGAGCATATGGGGTAGCTTTATGTTTGTCAAAACGATTTCGTTTGGAAACAATACCTTCCTTGTACATAGAATAGCTAGATGCGATCGCTTGATTGAGACTTATAAGATGGATGGCGTCGATAAAGATGACGCCAACCCTGTCGTACCCCTTTTTGCAATGTTCACCGTGTATTTTTGTTCTCGTTTCATCGATTGTGTACCTCAGTTACACTTTTGCTAATATTGTAGTATTTTCTTCTTGTTTTTGTTTGCTTTATTGGTCACCATCAATGGAAGAGTTGTGTTTTATATAAGGATACATTTTGACAATATAAAAGAATGTGCATGGTACTAGTATGGATTCCTGTATCAGAGCACGCCAATCTTGCGGTTTGTGATTAATAATTTAATAAATTCTGAAGTTTTAAAAACAAGGGTTCCTCCCTTTTTAAATCTATGGGAAACACCAATAAAACATATTCTTTTAAATTTATTTTAATCTTTAATTTGTATCTGTATTGCTTGAAGAATAATGATTAAAATTATTGCTAGCTTGTTTTAATAATGTGATTGAATTGACTTTAACGATTTCTCTCTGGGTCATCAGACAAAAAAGCATCATTCTTCATGAAATTGAACCACAACGCGACAGCGCGATAACGTGGCAAAGCACACCGTTTACTTGGCAATACGAAAACGCCAACACCACACAAATGTTTTGTCACAGAAGAATGTTGCATTATCCCATATATATATATATATATAATTTTAGTCGCATCGTCGCGTTGTTACGTTTATATTCCGATATTGTTGAGTGACCGTATCAGTCATTACGACATGTTTGACACTTTCCGAAACAATTTTGAAAATAACGATGAAATAAGGAATAATATAAAAATGCAAAACATTTTTTATTCAAATCACATATTTTGTGGTGGTTGAATGTCTGTGTAAAGTGAAGGATATAATGCTTTATCAAATAAGAAAATCATAATTTTACAACCAGATAACGAATAATTCGTACGACGAAGATACAATACAACAAATAGGCATGTCTGTATATTGTTTTATTTCATCATCTAAAGAACTAAGTGATAATCGACGTTTTAGAAGTCAGTCAACCAGGAAAATCCTTACATAAGGTAAACACAAGTATGCTATGTTTTTATGTTTAAAATTCACATACATGATAAAACATTGATTGCTCTCGGTATAAAAAGGATTATCAAATGTAAAATCCCTGAATATTAAAATTTGTCCCATTTGCAGTAAGAAATATGTTATATTACATTTCAAACTGAAAACACAATAAAGGACGGCATCATTTTATCAAAAGGATATATAGTGTATATACATATATAAAGACATATTGACATATGTTAATGGAAGAGGATCAATATCGTGTTGTAGGTATTCCTATTCCAATTAGTCAACGCGATGCTCTGGTATGAACATCAAATGAAGCTATTTGGACTAAGTTACATCCCGACAAAAGTGAATGATAGAAAATAAGACAGGTTGAATACACAAATGACGAATGGCTATCAGATTGTATTTATTAATGGTCATTTGAAAGCAATTTCATATAATGATAACTGTCCATTAGCACGAGTATTTCCGGAAGCTGTATTACATACTGTGTGCATCCCTTGAACTGTGCCACTGTCAACCTGGATTTATAGGACAGGGTCATCTATAGCCGGTAAATCTTATCGTTACACTGTGTTATTATCTAATGGACACGTTTTAGACCTATTTGGAAAGTCTCTTATCAGTTAAGCAGTTATTATCAGTAAAGCCAACACAAAGAATAATAAACAGTTTGTACTAAAATATTGATGACAACTTTTCAGCATGCATGCCCTAGATTTTGGGACCGAAAGATATGCTGTGGTACAGCGTATAGTCCACGGGTGTAACCATAGAGTACGGTACTTAAGAGCCTAGCTAATTACATGTCACAATGTAAGTGCATTTGATAAACTGATCCTGATTCCCTTGATAATTGTACAGTCATTATCCTCCTTCTTGACAAGGATGTGGGATGATTACGGTAAATATAACAAATATTTTTGTTGTTTGA